GCACTCCAGTCTGGGCGACAGAGTGAGACTCCAACTTAAAAAAAAATAAAATAAAATAAAATAAATAAATAAATAAAGATACTTGTGGTTCCCTAAACAAGCCACCTTCAGACTCACCATTTTGCATTTACACTTGCTATTCCATCCACTAGTATGCCATTTCCCACCGCATCCTATTGGTGAATTCCTACTTAACCCAAATGTCACTTCCTCCAGGAAGTCTGCCAAGAGTTATCTGGGTTACAAGAGCCCTTTGGCACATTAAGCTGAGAGTATATGTTTATGGGTGTGCTTCCTCCACCATATTGTAAACTCTGTGGGTGCAAATGTCTTATTTGATTGCTTTATGCAGCTCTGGTCCCCCACACTAGTGCCTGGAATAGAAGTTTCTCAGCCAAGGCCAGCCAGAGAAATGAATGAATGAAAAGGTGATCCCAATGTGAAACCACTCAGGTGCCACCTCTGTGATATGATTTGAAAAATGCTAGGAGAGCCCCATCTCCCATCTTTAATTTTCACAATAGACATTTATAAGAGTCCCCTGCTGAAATGGAAATGCCCTCAGTGATACGGTAACTCTTCCTAGCAAATAGGCAGGGCTCAGTTAACAATGTCAGAGTTTGGCTGTGACAGCTGGCTGAGAATATTCCATCCAAACTGAAAGGGCAGAAGAGAGGAAAATAGTACCCTGAAGGAGGGAAAGGAAGTATCACTTTCTCCAAGAAGAGGCCTCCAACCACCCCTCAGTCTGAATTAGGTACCCCCTCCCAAAGGCCCCAGAGTTCTCCCTCCCCATCAGTCTGTGTTACCATCAACTCTTCATGTATCTCTCTCCCCTGCTAGACCATGAACCCCGAGAGACCCAGTGTCTTGTCCAACACGTATTCAACAGTCATCCCAGTACCCAACATATACTGGTTGCTCATTAGTAACCTGAAGAACTACTAAAACTGAGTTTCAGAATCAACATTTATATCTAGGAAACATGGTGATGGTTTAATGTGGTGCTCGACACACAGATAGGCAGCTGGCCAGACAGACGTCACTGCCTCATTCCTTCTCCACCCTGGGGCTGCTAGCTCCGACCCCAAGAGGAAGACCGGCAAAGTGCAGGAGAGAGGTGTGTAGCTCAGAATGTGTTCATGACAAGCCAGCATCAAGATGTCTGATGACGAAACAGTTGGCAAGGAAAGAGAAATAAAGCCCTAGCACACGTTACTTGGCACGGCAAGCACCTACACATTGTTACTGGGTCTTCTGCTGTCACGCTCACAGATGTGAGCATTCAGGCAGATCGAAGAGAGGGCTGCCTGGGCCAGGAGCCTGGGCTCTGTGGTGACTGCTGTGCCATCGATGGTCACAGGAGAGTCACAGACACTTCTCTGCTGTTCCCTTCTCATGCCCCAAGGTAACTAATCCTGTGGTCTGTGGACTGTTATGCCCACTCCATAGCCATCCAGTGGGGTACCTGGCACAGAGTGGGCACTTCATAAATACTTGTTGAGTGGTAGAAAGATGAAGGAACTGAGGCTTAGGGAGATTAGAGAGCTTGTCCGAGGTCTTCAGGATGAGGTGGGCCCAGAATTCAAGATCAGGCCTGTCTGACTCTAGAAATCTAGAGGAAGGAGCCTCCTGCCCTGCAGGCCTATGAGGGTGCACCCAGAGACTACTGGTTCCAAGACAATAAGACATCGTCTTAGTATCTTAGTATAAGTTAACTCATCCCATTTTTTTTTAATTCTCTCTCTCTCTCTCTCTCTCTCTCTCCCCCCTCCCTCCCTGCTCTCCTCTATCTCTTTTTCTATCTTCCTGTCTCTTCCTCTCTTCCTCTCTCTCTCTTTCACTTTATCTTTCTCTGTCTCTCTTTCTCTACGTATCTCTTTCTCCCTCTCTCTCTCTCTCCCCTCTGTATCCTCTCTCTCTCTCTCTCTCTCTCTCTCTCTCTCTCTCTCTCTCTCTCTCTCTCTCCTCTCCCACCTTCCCTACCCCCATTCTTGCCTTTCCCCTGACCTTTCTCTCTCTAGCAACTTGATTCGGTCTGTGAAGGCAGGCCAGGGATATTTTTCCATTCTGAGGGAGGAGAATGAAATGAAAAAGAGACAACAGCAACTTCAGAAACTGAACGAGGAAGAAAGGAACAAATTCCAACCAGCCCAAAAGATCTCAGAAATCCGATATGGGGAAACCTTATTGACGTAAGTGGACACCATAGCTGCGGCACTAATGGTCTTGGGAAGGACCACTGAGCATGAACCCTGCCTGACTGGGTTGAGTGAGGGCAGCTATCTCAGAGCAGGGCTCCTTCTCAACCTAGCATCTAACATCCTCTTCAGCCTCAACTTCTGGTACCTGGTGGAATGTCTTCTACTACATATGTCTGTCTTCATATCCAATGCTAAGAGCTACACAAGAAATCCTGCTGGTCCCCAAATGTCCTCTTCTCCCTCTCTTTCCCAGGCCTTTTCCCATGCTGTTGCTTGGACCTTAAGTACCCTTCCCATTACTTCTTCCAACCAGTGTTCTCTACATACCACTAAGTGCCCACCTTAAATGACACCCTCTCCTGATACTTTCTGGATTTCAGACCATCCACCTCCTGCACCCATTTGCAGCCCAGGTCTCCATAATGGGTTTGCATGACAGTTTTCTTTATTCCGCATCAGCATCTCTGTTCTAGACCTTCAGCTGCCTCCCTAGGGCCAAGTTCAGTGTCCACACAAAGCAGGTACACAAAAATTTATTGAATGTCATAGCTCCCCATCCCACACACCTTTTTTGTAAGGGACTTTTCACTGGTTGGGAAAGGATCATCAACAAACTAGTGTATTATGAAATGCTCATGCATATAATAAAAACAACAACAATAAATGCAACATATTGATAATGAATGTTTACTATGCACCTTTGCACATCTATTTATCGAAAATATTCTCATGAGATAGGTACTATTATTAGCCCTGTTTCAGAGACAGAAATGAGGCTTACAGACATGAACTAATTTTCCCTGAGGTCATTAGTTAGAAAGTATCCCTGAGTCTCAAACTTTGCCATACCCAGATCCATGGACTATGCCATTTGGCATGGACAAAATCCTGGGATACTTGATTTGTGCAGTCTGAATGAGGCACAAGCCAGGATGGAAAGGAGGTGCCAAAGCAGGTGTAAAGGAAGTGTGTGGTACAGATGGCATGAAGCTGTAGTCATTGTCCTGTTAGAGCAGCTGTCTCAGCCCAGCATCCCATTCTGGAGGAGAAAAACTCACCCGGTGAGTTTTCACCTGTAATATCAGCAAGGTGAGAGGATTGCCTGAGCCCAGGAGTTCAAGTCCAGTTGGGCAACAAGGCAAGAACTCGTCTCTATAATAAATAAAAAAAGTAGTTCGGCATGATGGCATGCGCCTATAGTCCCAGCTACTTGGAAGGCTGAGGTGGAAGGATCACCTGAGCCCAGCAGGTCGAGGATGCAGTGCCATGATGGTGTCACTGCACTCCAGCCTGGGCGACAGAGTGAGACTCCCACTCAAAAAAAAAAATAAAAGAAAGAACTTATATAGCTACTCTTGAATTGTACCCTACACCTTTAAAATAAAATAAAATAAATCTTTAAAAAAGAAAAACACCGATGCCCAGGCCAGTTACATTAGGCTTTCTGGGGGTATTTGCTGTTCATAGAATTTTCTAAAGTTCCCCTAGGTGTTCCCAATGTGAAGACACAATCGAGAGCCAGTGTGCCAGGGCTGCTTCAGGAATCCAAATTGTCAGCTTGTTTTCTAAGGGAAATGGAAGACACAGCAAACACGTCCTGCACCATTTTCCAAATTCTGATCTTCAAAATGCTAATTTAAAAAAATTTGAATATGTGTGTCTTACAAACAAGGGTCCTGCCAATGGAATCATACAATATGTGACCTTTTTGTGTCTGGCTTCTTTTTTTTTTTTTTTTTTTGAGTTGGAGTCTCACTCTGTCGCCCAGACTGAAGTGCAGTGGCCACTCCCGGCCACCGCAGCCTTGACCTGCTGGGCTCCGGTGATCCTTCCGCCTCAGCCTTCCAAGTAGCCGGAATTACAGGCATGCGCTACCACGCCCGGCTGATTTTTTGATTTATTGTAGAGATGAGGTCTCGCTGCCCAGGCGGGTCTCGAACCCGCGGGCTCAGGCAATCCACTCACCTCAGCCTCCCAAAGGCGCAGGATTACAGGCTGAGCCACCGAGCCCGGCCTGTGTCTAGCTTCTTTCATCTATAATGTGCTTGAGGTTGGTCCTGGACAGAAAGCAGATTGATAGTTGCCATGAGCAAGGGGGTGGCGGAAGGGGAAGTGGCTGCTTGGTGGGTCCAGGGTCTCCTTTTGGGGGTGATGAGAATGTCTTGGAACTAAATAGGGGTGATGTTTGCACATCATGGTGAATGTACTAAATGTCACTAAATTGTACCCTTTACAGTTCCATGAATTTCACCTTAATACTTTTTTTTTTCCAAATAGAACGATGGTTCCAGTTTGTGGGGCCCTGGATATGGAGTAAGGGGAGGGCTGAACAATGTTAATCAAGGATCTCCTTAAAGCTCAAGGCTCTCTCTAGGTAATGGCCGAGAACCCAGCTTGCAAGACCACATAGGGGCTGGTGTATTTCCAGGAACCCTTCCTCTGAATAGCGACCCTTGGGATACAAGCTTATTGTGGAAAGGGTCTCCTCTTTGACTCCTCATTTGAGCAGTCTGTGGGCAGTGACTTCTGTCCCCTTTGCCCTGTGAAGCTATTAGAAGGAAAGTCAACCCTTTCTGGATTGGCAAATGTCCTTAGGCAAATGTTCACAGTGGCTTCCCTCTCTGATTTTCCTTCCTTCTTGGTGTTGGCCTAGAGATTTCCAATTCCCACTTTCTCAACTCTTTGCCACTTTTAAGATTTTTTTTTTTTTTTGCTATTTTGTCCAGTATTTTTGCTCATTTTTTACCCAAAGGGTTAGCCTAAATAAGCTAGTCTACCATTTGTTCATATATTTATTAATTCGTGTATTCATTCTGAGATGAGAGAAAATATTTATGATTTACAATCTCTCCTCCATGCCTTTAAGGAGAACACCCTAAGGAGGAATCTTTGTCTGTATCATATTTGAAGGAATATGATACATTCAATACAGAGGTGGAGCTGAATTGATTCTCTAAGTGGTAAGATGGAGAGAAATCCAGAAGGCCAGCTGAGAATGTGAGAAGAAAGGACCCTTTGGAGGAGAAAAGAGAGAAAAGCATTTCTGGGAGAAAACAGAGATGCCTACTGTGGATGTTTATGAGGTTTTCCCTCATGATGTGAAACGTAAATTCCTTCCTCTGTCTCTCCCACGAGATCTTTAGTAAGGTATCCATGGCCCCTTAGCACATTAGGAATTGGACCTTTATCTTAGCCAGTTTTGAAGTAAGTTTAGGGGTAGGAAAGAGAGGCTGCCACAACCCAGGCCCAATCTTGTTGCACAACCAACCACTCTGTATTGAAAGCCTACTATGCACAGGTCCTCTGACATCATGGAGATGTGAAAAGGTCATGTGCTCTTTGAGCTATGGCTGTCGCCATGCTTCCTGGCTTTGGCCTCCTCCCACACCTCGGGGAGGTGAATCTTCTTTCTCCCTTCTCTCTCTAATTTACTTTTAAATAAACTTTTCTTTCTAAAAAAAAAGAAGGAAAAAGAAAAGTACCATGGGGCACACACTAAGGAGACCGTAACTGAGCCCATCCCCTCGAGTTTAGGAGGTGAAATGGGACTCTGGAAAGAATCTCCAGAGGTATGGCTTTTGAGCAGGTTCTTTAATGCTGAATGGCAGTTGGATGGGCAACAAAAACAGGCATGTTTAGAAGACTCATCAGCCCACCAGAATTCCTGCGGCCAGCCTGCCTAGCTAGGAGGGCCGAAGCAGGGTGTGACTGAGTTGTCTTTGCCCAGAGTTAGAAACATTATTGTCAGTCAGAGCCATTACCATGTTCTCATTCGATCCTGAGGGGGTGTGTGATACAGAGAAGGCCACTCAATGAGCCAGGAGGGTCTTTCTCTTGCCATGAGGTTCCCAAGAGCTCAGTGCAAATTCTGCCTTCCATCCTCAGCCTGATGGCCCTCATGGAGTCTGATACTCCTGGTGACACTTGCCAGCTGGCAGCCTTTCCCTGAAATAAAGAGAAGGAATGAATTCGTGGCTCTTTCTTGCAGGATCTGTGCTCAGATTGACAGGCAAACCCAACAAGCGCCAGGGAAGGAGCCTGTCTGTTAAGGATGGATGTCCCTGTGCCTGTTGAAATGACTCAGGCGTCACGTCCTGCTTGTTTGGATGGGGATTTTCATCCATGGCCATAGAACACAATTCTCCCCTCTCTAATCCATGTTTCAGTGTATGAGACATGGTTTGTTTAAAGTTTAATAAGTTTAAATTTGCATGAGATTGCTCCTCTTGTAGACATTGGTCTGGTTATATCTTATCTGGTTGGTTCTATGAGCTGTACAAGGCTGGTTATTAAAATAAAACCAGAATCCATTCCTGCAATGGAGCCATCAAATGCAGGGGCAGGAGGGTGTAATAAAATAGCATTATGAGATTGTCTATACCAAGACAGGGTAGTAGTTAAGAGGACAAACCTTGGTGCCGGTCAAGACCTAACTACCCTCATACAACAGTTTAACTTTTGGACAAATCCCTGTGCCTCTCTGAACTCCCTTTTTCTTTGCCTATATGAATGGTACCAAACACCCAAGCTTGTTATGAGGATTAAATGAAACGATGCTTTGCCCAGAGCCTGGCATATAAGACATGCTCAGTAACTGCTAGCTATTATTATGCAATAATGCGAGTTTGATCTCTCTGAGTCTCAATTACCTAAAATCCTTAAATTTATGACTAAAAATCTTAATTTCCATGAAGCCTAAAAAGGATCTCACATCTAAGAGCTACGCTTCTATAGAAGTAATTCCAATCACAAGAGTATCAGAAATACAAGTGTTCATTTATAAATACTTTTTTAACAAAGTGTTTGATCTTGTGCATTATAAAAGCAAAAAAAGAATTATTTTTCCCCCCTCTGGATCTAAGACCATAGGAAAGTTTTAAGTCTAACAAACTACGCAGGGAAAAAGGAAAATCAAGCATGTCCCCAAAGATTTCTGCCTGCAAGCAGTCTTCCCCATCGTGTTCAGTGACCTCGTTTTTCAGCTACAGATTCAGCTGAAAAGGTGAAAAAATAGATGGGTAGAACTTGTTTTATGATTGTGGTGGAGAGAAGACATAAAACCAGAGATTAAGGATGTAAAAGCTGGGTTAATTTCTATGTACTCTAAACTACTGGGAGACACAGTTGAGCTAGTAAGAAGGGAACACAGCAGTGTATTTGCTCGTGGTTTCCTCAGCTCTGGGGTTGAACAAAGAGTCAATGAAAGTGAAAATCAGAGGTCCTATGTTTAACTCTGTGACCCCAGAATTGTCCTCAAATTTCCAGGAGGCTGGTAAGCTTCTAACTTGTGTTCCAGCATTATCTCCACTACAGCCCCCATCCCATTCCCCCAGATCAACCCAGAGTGTTCTTTTCAAAATGTAAATTCCTCCCAACTTAACACCCTGCATGGCTACCATTTCTCAAAGGATAAAGACAAAAGTCTGAGCAGAAATTCCAAGGTCATGGAAGGTCCAGCCCGCACACTCCAGCCCCAGCTCATAGCCTCCTCTTGCTCCCTCTACCCCAGCCACACCTTCCAACTTCCTACTTACGACATGCTCTCTACCATAGGGTCTTTGCACATGCTATACTGCCCCTCTGGCTGGAAGGCCTTTCCTTCCTCTACTTACCTAGTTAATTCCCACCCAACCTTCACATTTCAGCTCAGTCCCTACTTTTGTTCCAGTTACTACTGCCATGAACACACCCACTCCAAAGCTTATTATTCAAGACAACACACACTTCTTTCCCTTACAAATCTGCAATTTGAGTAGGGTTCGGAGGGGAAGTATTGAATCTGCTCCATATAACACTAGCTGGGTGTGTTAGTCCATTTTGTGTTGCTGTAAAAGAATGCATGAAGCTAGCAATTTATAAAGAAAAGAGGTTTACTTGGCTCACAGTTCTGCAGGCTGTACGAGAAGCATGGCACCAGCATTTGCTTCTGGTGAGGGCTTCTGGAAGCTTCCAGTCAGGGCAGAAAATACAAGGGAATCACGTATCAACATGCAATTTGGAGGGGACACATATCCAAACTATATCACCGGGGCAGCTCAAAGAATTCATTTCCAGGATGGTTTACTCACCTGAGTGGCAAGTTGGAGCCAGCCATCCACTTGTGAGCTTGGTTTCTCTCCTTGTGGGCCTCTTCACAGGCTGCCAGCTTCCTTGCAGCATGGCAGCTGGATGCTGAGTGAGCATCCCAAAACACAGGTAGGAGAGGTTGCTGGTTGCTGGAGCCTGGCATGCACCACTTCTGACACATTCCATTAGGTCAGCCAGAGCTAGGAACCAAGGGGAAGTGGGCTTGGACCCACCTCTCAATTAAAGAAGTCTCAAAGAATTTAGGGGAAACGTTTTGAAATCGCCACAGCTTCCTCAAAGAAGTACAGTATTCCCTGGCTTCCATTTCGGTCAGAATCACTATTCTAGACTGCTAAAGGACTTTCCCTCTAAACACGTATCACAACTGTGTGTTTGGATGTACCTGTCTCCCCCACTAGACTCTAAGCAGTAGGTGGGGAGAGGCTGGGTCTGTCTCATGTACTGCTGCATTTGCAGCCCCCAGCACAGAGAAGATGTCCAATCATTATTGGTAGAAATGAATGAATTAGGGAATTCATCAACAATCCAATCAATGAAAGTACTTAGGTGCTCAGAAACTAAAAGGGAACAGGCGGGTAGCAAAAATTAGCAAGAGAGGTGGGGAACGAGAAGCCGGGGTGCTTGTATCTGGACCAACCCAAGAAGCACACATCTTATGCAAAGCAGGAAGTGTCCTCAACCTGGGCTCCCTGCTTCTTGCCTGTGGGAACACGGGCCTAGAGTAGCCAGAGCTTTCAAGTTTTTGATAGCCAAATCTTTCCAATTTTTATGTGACAGCTCCCAATTTTAAAATATAAAAAATACAGACAACTGATTCAACTATGCACAGACACATACACAGAGTAGATTAATTAAAGCATGTCTGTAGGCCGAATCTGGCCATGGGCAAAAAATATATACCCTATACTTAGGCATGCCAAAAATAAATTATTTTCTGAAATAATTTGTTTCATAATGGTGGAGAGGAAGACACTTTAAATATAGTATTAAATTGCTGTTTCCAGAACACAACTGGAAATATTTTGTTGTTTGGACCTTGTAGAAACGTTCCCAATATATCACACATTTACCTGGTTATCTTGTTTATTCTTGTTTGCTCCTCCAGTAGATTATATTATAGGAGGGCAGGGTGTTTTTATAAGTTCAGTTCACAGACTACATTTAGAACCCTCAAGCCAAAATTAATGCTTGGCACATAATAAGTGCCCAGTAACACACACAAAAAAATTAAAAACTGGCAAGAGAAGAACGTTTTTAAAGCGGCCTTGTTCACTGTGTTTCTGTCTTTCTGTGTGTCCTTCAGCACAAATGATGATGAGAAGTTTAAGAAGTTGGGGGCTACAGCCATCCTTTGCCCATTTGTGCCTGCTCACAGCTGCATCATCTCACCCGTGCTACCCGAGGCTCACGTGTAAGTACTCTCAACTCCAGCTCATTTGCTTTGCCAGCTTATACATGGAAGCAGAGCTAAAATGACTCAGTGACCTTAAGGTTTCGGGAGCTGTTCCTTTGTCCTCTTGAAAGGGACATCTGTTCCTTTGTCCTTTTGAAAGGGACATCAAGCCTGGAGCCGGCAAAGCTATTTGGCCTATAAAAATAACTAGACACAATGGTTTAGAGCTAAGTGGCAAATCAGCTGGGACTGAGTCATTCCATTTCTTATCAAGCCAGACGCTCTAATGTCAAATAGTGTGCAAAGCCTGATAAAATCTGTCTATAGCCCTCATCAAGTGTATGCCCGAACGTCTCAGCCAGTGCTCAGGGTACACGTTTTCCCCAAGACTCAAGGAGCTATTTCCCAGAGAAGCCCTTGTATTCTTCTGACCCAAGGCATGAGCTCACCAGTGCATGGTGTAACAGGAGCTAATCAACCCTCCAAAGAACAGTCTTGCTTTCTAAAACCATGACCTCTTGTTCCCCTTGTGTCTATTCCAAAGAATCTCAAGCCCAGCTTTCTCTTTTTCCTAGTCAGCACTTTTCAATGGGAAGATTTCAGATACAGTGATACAAGTTTTTGAATTTAGGACACAGTTTTTCAGCCTTGACACATTATTGACATTTTGGGGAAAATAATTAATTCTTTGTTGTGAAGGGCTGCCCTGTGTATTATAGGATGTTTACAGCATCCGTGGCCTCTACCTACTAGATGCCATTTGTGACAACCAACTATTCCCTGGGGCAGAACTATACAATTCTCCCCCCATCCCCCCCACCCCTGCCAACACACACACGTACACTTTACATTAGAACCATGCAGTTATTCTAGACTCCTCTGTCTGCTGACTTGTCAACTATTTATTAGACGCTTACAGTGTTCTCAACAATAATGGTCACTACTCACTACTCTGTAGGGATTATCTCCTTCAGTCCTCTCAGACTCCCTATCATGTAGGTATATTTGTATCCTCACTCTGCAGATGACAAAACACAAGCTCAGAGAGGTATACTCACTTACTCAAGGCCACAGAGCTCATCACGTTGCTGAGCCAAGTCTGACCTGAGAACTCCAGCTTTCATCATACAGAAAGTGTATCCCAAAGTCTCACCTTCAAGGAGCTCATAATATATTTGGCAAGCCATGTGTCCTATACTTGAAGAGTAAAATAATACAGGAGTGAAATCATAGGATAAGATGGCAGACGAAAGAAAATCATTAATAAGAGCACTTAGTTCATGATGGAAGATGCAAAAACCATCACCAACACCATTATAATCACCATCATACTCTCACTATCGTCACCATCATTATTACCATCATCACCATCATCATCGCCATCATCATCACCACCTTGTACTGCACACATCTGCATCTCTCCAGCCTTGGAAGAACTCCACTCCACCCATCCCACCCCATCCTACTTTCCTCCTACTTCCCTTTGATAGGTATTATGGTTAACTTCTTGGTAGACTTTTTGTTAGGAACCTTCCAACTGGCAGCTTAAGCTTGATGTTCTGAAAGCAGCTCCTTGCAAAATGAGCCTTGCAATTTCTCATAATGTCCGTTGGAAACATTCACACTCCTGCCCGTCTTTCCCACTGACATGACTTCTGAAACCAAATGGTAAAAATCAGTGGGCTTTCACTTGCATCCAAACTATCTGGGGATGGGCGGGGGAGACCAGGAATGCATATTCCTGGGCTCCACCCAGGATTCATTTAGCCTGAGCAAATTGAGGCCTAAATCAGCAATGAAGTGACTGGAGAGTTTCTTGCCCATCTTCCTTCAATGCCAGGTGAGGAAATTAAAGCCCAGGGAGGGGGTGGAACCTGCCAATGAACACCTCACAACAGGACTCTTGATCTCCTGACTAAGTCAGATCCTTTCACCAGGTCTGAACATAAGCTATTATTATTAGCAGAGTGGATGAATAATAATTATTATTATTTGTTATGCCCTTCACTAGGAAACTTTTCCTTGGAAGACCAGACAGTAAATATTTCAGGTTCTGTGTACCAGGCAGTCTCTCTCGCAACAACTGAACTTTGCTTTTGTATCATAAAAGCTACAGCAATGGATGTGGCTGTGTTCCAATAAAGTTTTATTTACAAAAGCAAGCAGCAGGCCTACTGACTGTTGTTTACTAACCCCTGTCCTGGACCAAAGACTGCTCTCTCTTCTCCTTGGCTATTAAAGGGCGCTGGCTGCATTTTGATGACTGAATCAGTAATCTGTGGTTGTATTACAGACCACCTCAACATCAAATGGCTTAAAACAACAACCTTTTATTATTGCTCCCAAGTCTACAGGTCAGCTGGATGATTCTGCTGGGCAGGTCAATTTGTCTGATCTTGGCTGGATTTGCTTATGCGTGTGCACTCAGCTGATAGGTGAGCTGGAGATTGGATGATCTAGAATGACCTCATTCACAAGTCTGTTAATCGATTGGGTGGTGGCCAGGGTGACAGGAGTATCTCTCAACACATAGCAGGCTAGCCCAGACTTGTTCACATAGTCGGCAGAGAGCATTCTAAAACAAGAGCTAAGTACTCAAAGTCCCTTGAGGCTTAGAATCAGAATGAACACAGTGACCCTCCTCCACATTCTACTGGTCAAAACAAGTCATCAGGCCAGCTCAGATACAGGATTGAGGGAAAGACTCCACTTCATGATCAGAGGAGGCAGCAAAGTCATACTGCAAAGTGTGCAAAGCACAGAGACCGATTCCCAAGCTTTCAGTTGTCATGTCAGCCAATCTGGTTCAGAGCCTGGTCAGTCCCGATGTGACCGATCACCAAATTGTCTGATAATTCCAAATCAATTGTCTGAGGATCAGTTCAATCATGTCAGGGGTGATTCGACCTTTATCTTTAGAAAGAGGAGGGGGGAGTCTCTAGGAATGAGAGGCAACCTCTTGTATTTCCTGTTAGATGACAAGGCTGTGCCCCCCAGCCTTCTGTGTGCAGTCACATAGCAAGTGCAGTGCCTGCAACCTGTATCTGGATTTGCCCTTGGCAATCAGCACAGAGTGCTTGGAATGGCTTTGAATGCATTTGCCAATTTCTCTACCTAAAAGAAAAAAAAGTTTTATTCTCAGAGATGTTTACGCCCACTGGTATTCTGGTTGGTACAGCAGTTTTAATAGTGTGAGCTATTCGGGTGTGCTGACTGCCAGCGCTCCCCCTGAGTTCTGAACTCAGGGGTTTCGGAAGCAGGCTCTGTGCGTACCTACTCAGCATTTTCACCCATTATGTCCTGCAGTGAGACCTCATCTCTACAATAAATCAAAAAATCAGCCGGGCATAGTAGCGCATGCCTGTAATTCCGGCTATTTGGAAGGCTGAGGCGGAAGGA